AAGAGCCTTACTCCACCGAACGGTACTTTTGCAGTTACTCAAGTAGAACTCTTTCAAATATTCGATATGTAAAACATCTTCAAATAAGAGAACAAGAAATCAGTGATGATGAAAACGATTACAGTCAATGTCGGGAATGAATTCAGACCTTATAAAATGTCTTTCAACAAAACCCAATTCGTCTTCTCTTTCTGGATGCTTTGCCTCAACCACAATGAACTCACCAATAACGGCAACCTTAATTCAATTCACAATCAAAAAAAGAAAGATTCATTCGAATAATATGAACGACAACTGCTAACATTGGGCACTCAGTGAAATGTTTCCGTTTCATTCACTTCAATTTTAGTCTCGAGTGCTTCAATCAGGCTTGAGTTAATTCTTAGTCATAGGTTTACGCATCAGCTTATCAAGCCGAAAATTGAGTGGGTGAAATTTGCGTACGCCAAAAGTTATCCCTAGTTATCTGAAAAGGACATCAAAGAAATCTAATCGATGAAAAATGAACCTTAAGATCTTCGGCCTTAAACTGTGACACATCGATAGTAGCACTAAACGAATCCTCTACACCACTTTGCTGTGATGAAATAGTGCCCGCAATTGATCCGAAAGGTGCTTGAATCTGTAATTTTATGCGATTATATCAGTATGACTGCTGGTTGCTGTAATGGCTGAATGAATACATCCAACGAATCGAATGAACGAATGGATGAATGAATAAAGCCTAAGCCCGACAAATCCAACGAACATGCCACCTAAACCAGCCAAACGAACTGAAAATCCCACCTGAGCAGTGGCCACTTGCGGTATACGCATGGTGTTACTGATGACAACTCGCGGTGACTCTTCAATTACCCTTTTTTCATAGGTTCGATTATAAGACGACGTGCGATTGTATGATGTGCTCATTTTGCCGAATGCACTGAAATCATTGCTGATTTATATGAAAGTTGAAATTATTACGGAAATTCGTTGCATTATCTCAATCATTATGAAGACAACNTCATCATTCATCACTCCGAACAACATACATCAAACAGTATTCATCTCAGTTGACCGAATCAAAAATTAACGCATCGTTTGTGGTGAAAGACAGTACTGCTGAGAAGATGCAAATCAGCATTGAAAAACCAGCGGACGTCATTTTAATAGCGAAACTAAGCCGAGCGAAGCAGTTAGAACTAATGAACTTCAGGTATTCAGTGGACTGGCATAAACCTCGCACCTTGCTTGGCACCTTGAAGTGCAAGTAATCACTCAGAGGAAACAAGCTTCGAGTTTGCCATGAAACGAAGGAATGAAGCATTAATGAAAGTGCAGTCATCATGGAACGTTGTTGATGGAACAAGTTCACAGAAAGTGTGAATATCACTTCTGGCAAACTATCGCAATCTGGTTGTAAATATATCCGAGACTGGGATGTTGTATTGACCTACTTGCTATTGATAGCAACAGATCAACGGTCAATTGATCCATCAATCTCAAACACTGATCAACAACCAAACGGTACATTCTTCATTCGTGACACTTGACTGCTCTGAGTCACTTTTGCTGATTTTCTTTTTTTTTTGAATGCGCTAACAACCCCTACGCACCTATCTATCGCTCGCCCCAGGCTGATAAAACTGATTTCATGAGAAATTCATCTGAATGACACACAAAAAATGGAATATGTAGAAAATCGAAACTTTCAACTCGTGTTGCTGGGAACTTCATAAGAATGCTGATGAATCGAGATTCCTAACGAAACAGTAGAGGATTTCAACATTCTTCTAGACGTTATCATAAGAAGAAAAAGAATGCTGACTAAACAAATGAATACTACTTGATCAACATAAGTAATCCACACTGAATGAAAATATTCTTCCAGCGAAAAATCTGGAAATAACTTGAACAGAGTGAACGAACGAACGATAGCTGTGATATGAAATGACCAGTGAACTATTTCGCAACAATGATGAATGTATTTTCTATCACAAAAACGTCCAATGCTTCAACAAAAACAAAAAAAAGTTCCCCTAGGTTTCGAAACACATTGTTTTAAGTGTGTTCACAACATCTTACACTCGTCAGCTAAACTGCACTTCACNTTTTTTTTTGCCAAACGATCGCCAGATAAAACAGGCAAAATAAAGCTGCCGAAATGACCGGGAGACGAGGAAGGAAGAAACTCGCATGAATTCATCGCCAACTTTTTGGGATAGCAGAAATTGGTGCTGAAATTGAACGTGCTCATTCCAGCGCACACTAAACTCTTTCAATACTTGCCGAAATGAGGTGGTGTAAAACGAGAAAACGAACACCAAACGAGCTTGGTTCTTACGAGAATACGCGAACAGAATCATGCAAACCGTTTGAAATTGAGTCAGTCAATAGATGAAAAAGGATACATGGAATAATGAAGAAAATCCTCTGGGAACTCTTTAAGTTCTTTAAAACCTTTTCTGGATGTGAATTAATTGAATCAATTAAAATGTTACAATTACCGAATCGATTTCTAAACGCTTCAATACGGAAACGCCAACTATTGAAAGGAAACTATGTACGTTGTTGAGGTAACAACAGTAAAAGATGCATTTGATTGAGTGAACAAATAAAGACGTACTAAACTCAGCGATTTAAGAGTTTCGAAAAGTCTTTCAGCTCGGTGACAATATGATTGAATATAAAGCAGAGAACGAAAGGCCGGCATGACTGTTCGAGTTCGTGATATTTGATGTCGGAATTTGCAGAGAATATTCGAACGACTGCAGTTAGTGGTAAGGTGAGGTGTATATGAGCTGAGGTTAGGCACAAGTATGTAGCACATAAGATATCGAGACAATAATATCACTAAGAAACAGACGCACAAAGAATGAATATAAAAATAAGCTGATTGTGAGTATTTTGTACGACGTCTTATGAGTTTTCTTTACACAAAATCATCTACTTTAGCAGGTAGCTGCTAGATGTACATGAAGATAGATAGATAGATACGTATTTCTCATCTCATAAACCAGCTCTAGCCTCATACCATTGAATCCGCTCTCGAGCCTTGACTCAAACTCATCAATAAAGAAAAAAGTTTAGAAAGAAGCAGTGAGTACTTATGATGATAGAATGCTAAGAATTAAACGTCTTTCAATGAGATGTTCAATAATTGCGCTTGCTGATTGAGCTGTTCTATCACGGTGAGTATTCGATTTTGAGAATGCCAGAATACTCACCACATCTTGAAAAACAATGTCGAAGAAAATTTAGCAGCCGAACAAAAGCATTAAAATGGTTTTATTTGTTTACTCCTTCTTAATTTTATTACTGCTAACAGCAATCAGTTGTTCATATCGCATTTTATTACGAAATGCCGGCGAAATGATGAAAGTAATTTTCTTTTGAAAAACAATTCGAAAAAAAANAAAAAAAACAGTGATTCACAACTTTTTGCGTTTCATTTTCTCTTTGAACCTTTGACGGATCGTCACTCGTCCTACACGGAAGTAATTTTCGGAAATGTTACTTCTCCCTCCTTTCCTTATTATTCGAGGAAATTGATTCGACGATTAAGAAAAGTGCTGTTAAAAATCTAGCGGTAGAATCTAAGGTGTCACTTTTTGAAACCGAAGAAATATTCTAATCGCAATCATTGATCATAATTTATGACGACAAATTGTTTTTACACGGCTTCCTCCTGAAATATTGTCGCACACACATTGTACACCTGAAAATAGATCGTCAAAAAATTCTTGAATTTTGAAGAGATATAATCCATGCCAGCGAAACGAATATATGATTTTGAAACATTGTGATATCTCACGGCTGCGTTGGTTCAGCTTATTGTATTGATGATGAGTGCATGCATAAATGCTGAATTTGTTTCATGATTGTTGCTTAAGAATCAATTTATTATTGTGACAATTCGATGCTGATCACATTTGTTCAATTTATTGCATTATTGTTGTATTGAATTGATCAAGAAATATTCGATCGATTTGTGTAATTTTGTCGTTTTTGTTTTTGTCAACAGTTCGTTACTGCAGCATTTTATCGCTCGATTGATAAGTGCCAAGGAATTCATGTATGACAAGAGCAAACGCAACTTACCAATAAACTACTTTACAGATGGCATTTTTTAGTCCATTTAGTATCACCGACAATTTTCAGTCTAAATCAATCGACAATAACTCAAATTTACGTACTGGCTAGCCAGTGGGGAGTGTGTGCATGTGATCATTACGAGTTGAATGCCGAAAGAGAATTAATCTTCAACAAACTTTTCAGTAATGATTCGCACCTTAAAAACCAACCTTATTTAGTGCTTAACACCTTGAATTAAGGCTCAGCTAATTACCTATGGTATATCAAAAGAAATCATCACGAATATCGATTCGTTAACTGTACGAAATATCAGTTTGTCGACTTCTCAACAAACCCCCTGACATCTCTAAGTTACTCTCAACGGATAATTTATACAGCTATGAGGAGCACAGTTATAAGGCTCTGTACACTGTGACGATTCGTTGAACAGTGGACTCGTTATATACATATATATGCATGTAGAGCAGTGGTTCCCATGCTGGAGCACTCCATTGCCCTCTTCGATAGTCTGGCAGCCGGTCATCACTCCCTCTCCTTCTCGCCTTTCCCGTTACAATAATTTGCTATTTTAACGCATAACGTCAGAACTAATTTTCCGATCCCATCCATTACTCCCTGACACTCTTAAATTACCTAAAAATGGGTAAGTTCTCTTCCTATGAGGCCCCTCGATTTAGAGCACTTGCTAAATCCCTTGAGTGAATTCTATTTACTAATTCCCTTGAGTGAATACCTTCATCACATAATCATGTCCAATTTAATTCCCAAATTTCATCGAGTTCATCAGCTATTATAGCATGCGAATTTCTTCCTGATGCAACGCCCGATCATACACATCATTCCATCATTCAAACGAGTACGCATAATGATCTAGAAGTAATTTCTTTCGGTTTGCAATGAACCACCACTCAGAATATTCATGCCTCTTTACCGGATACAACATATTTCCTGAGAGAGATTTATGTTAAGCGGTTGTTTGTATTGATTCTTGAGCAATAGCCACTACGTATTGACTATGTAAAATATTTTTCTGAATCATTCACGCACCATTTGACGGTGGAAAATTTTACAGCACAGACTGATTTTGTTTTCCGTTGTGCGATTTTGTTCGATTTGATTTCGGTCACTTAATGTTCTCCATTGTTCATTGTTGGGGCAAATGTGATTCCGTGTGGCCAATATTGTTGGCTTGGCAGATTTGTCGATAAACTTAAAACGGTGTTTGGATGAATTTGTATTTTCGTGGCAAAATTAAAAGTGCATTCTGTCCGTTCATATTCGTAGACGAATGTGCAGTGTAATTAGAGCACAGCAAGAAATGTTCACAACGGTTATCGGTAGTGTTGGGTCGGTGATCACCGACGGTTTTGCGGTAGTCCCCGACCGTCGGTGAATACCGAGTNGGTCGGTGAATACCGAGTTGCGGTAATCACCGACAGGGCTCTTGGTCGGTGATTACCGGGAAGAATCTTGCGGTCCCCAACACTAGTTATAGGCAAGCTATGAGTTCACAGCAACAGAAATGTATTGCACACAATGATGAATGAACGATCTGATGAAGAAACAATTCATTGGGGTCAGAGAAATGAATATATCTTGATTTCGACCGGATCTGGACGCATCTTATGTGGAGTAATTCTAGATATTGAATAGGACGGTAAAATGATCCCACAGGGTTGGATGGTTAATTATGAGTTCAAGTCACTAGAATGTGTCTGCAGTAGTGTGCACAGTAACTGTGATTGTTGATTACACTAATGGAATCATTTTACGGGGTCGGGTAGTTGATAACCTGTTATGGTTTCAGTGGAATTTCGCATAATTCATCGCTTCAT